AATAAAATAAAAGTAAAAACCAGGTAAATAATAATAAAAACCAGAGAATCCTAAATTCCATTCGTCAGTTCATTTAATTCATCCTACGGATATGCCTACCGCAGCTTAATTGTGCCCAGCCAGGAACCTTGTTCTTGACAAGTGGCTGAATGGGGTGCATGTTGCTCTCTGGGGGCACTCCCCAGCCACATTGTCTGGTGTGACAGAAGAAAACACCCAGCCTTGCAGCCTGACCCTGAGCAAGACTGCCCTCCCTGAGCCTTGGCTCAACTCCGGTTCCTGTGAGCAGGGACTGCTGAGGTCCAGGGCAGGGAAGGCAAAGACTCACCTTGTTTCTTGGAAAAGCCTATGCAAATAAAAAGGTCTCTTTTTCCTAATCAGATCTCAGGTGAGGAGAGTTGAGTCAATCACCCTCTGGAATTCAAGTCCTGGCAGAGACCTGCTCTCATTTTATTTCTTTATTCCATCTGTCATCCCTGGCTCCAGTCCCCTCCCTCCCCACAGGCACCAACACAAATGGCCTTGAATACCCTGCATCCTTGCAAAACATGCCTCCTTACAAGCTGTTGCTTCTAATTTACATGAAGCCATTGTGTTACGAATCTCATTCTCTTTCTTCCTTTCATTCATCAAAGACTATTAAGCTCCTACTGTGCACCAGGCATTGTTCTAGGTGCTGGGAATTGAGCTGTGAAGAAGCCAGATGAATCTAAATGCTTCCCCTCACAGAGCTTGGGCTCCAGCAGGAGGTGACAGACAAGAAACAACAAACACAATTTAAGAGTAAAGTAGAGGGGCGCCTGGCTGGCTCAGTCGGTGAAGCATGCTGCTCTTCATCTGGAGGTTGTAGGCTCAAGCCCCATATTGGGTGTAGAGATTACTTAAAAATAAAACCTTTAAAAAATAAAATAAAAGTAAAGTAAAGAAGAGAGTGCCAGAACCAGCTCAATACCAGCCCAAAAGAGCCAATTGGTCAATTTTTAGGAATTGTGAGAGCCAGGTGGTAAACACAACCATTATTAAAAATTAAATTACATAAACTTACAATTAAATAATGAATATTAAAAAGAAGGTCAATAGTGCGCCTGGGTGGCTCAGTTGGTTAAGCGACCGCCTTCAGCTCAGGTCATGATCCTGGAGTCCCGGGATCGAGTCCCACATCGGGCTCCCTGCTCAGCAAGGAGTCTGCTTCTCCCTCTGACCCTTCCCCCTCTCATGCTCTCTCTCAAATAAACAAATAAAAAATCTTTAAAACAAATAAAAAAATAAAAAAATAAAAAGGTCAATAAATACTCAACATTCATCAATTCCTAATTATTTTCACTAATAGTTATGTTTTGAATTTATGTTTGTCTGTTGTATTACGTTTATAACTGTGAGCTCTTCACATCTCTTTCCAACTCTGTGCCCAGAGACATTGCACTGGTAGGTTGATATCAGCCCAAGCAGGAGTATTACACCATAGAAATTGGCAAAAGCTTTTTTGGTTAAATCCTTTCCAGCGCAGCACACGACAGGTCTGCCTAGCAATGACCCGATGATCCTAGCGTTGTCTCTTCATGGTTCTGCGCTGGGATACTGCAGAGCTCAACTAGAGTAGAAGGCAGTGTGGTCTCACCAGGGTTCACTTGCTCTCTTGTTTGGGGCGCAGCGCAGGATCCGAGAATTCTCAGGCGGTGGGTCTGGGACCCACGTGGTTACGGCAGCTCCAAAGATTGTTGGGACATGAAGGCTGCACCTTCTGTCCAGGTGATGCAGACACACCTTGGCTCTCATATGTAACAGCCATACAAGTTCTGTGGAGGAAAGGGGACAAGAGCAGCTGTGTATTGGATAGATTCGGGCCCCCAGTAAGGTGAAAATACAGCCCATGCTGTGATTCTTAGCCTGCATCCTATAAAGCTAAATAAAAGTAGTTGGTTTTTTTTTAAGATTTTATTTTATTTTATTTTTTAAGATTTTATTTATTTGAGAGAGAGTGAGTGA